TTTAATACAGCAGTTATTTTTTGTTTCTTTAGAACAGAAAGATATCCAAACTAAAGTAAATTTTTAATTTTTTTGATTTTTTTGTTCTTTACTAAGAACCTCTTATAGTTATCAAGTTATAACTAATTTTGTAAGCAACTTGCTCAGCACTCTTCATACTGACAAGAGCAAGAACTATTCTTTTCTCTTTGTTAGTCATTTGAATTCGTACTATTTTTATAAAAAAAAAAATTTTTTTTTCTTAGTTTGGTTATTTTGATATCAAAAAAATAAAAAATAAAAAAAAAACCCTAAAATAATAAAGTTTAAGATAAATACAACTCTTTTATTTACTCATATACAATGATTTGCAAATTAGGTATTGCTTTTGTTGGCTACTGTATATTAGGATACAATAGCCAGACAGGATTTCAATATAATTCAGAAAGGGAGTATTTAATATGACAGGTTTAGTAGTTAGAGGTTTTGGCAAATTTATATTTTAGGTATTAGGAACTTATTTAATAAAGCAAAGAAAACATTCGATATCATCTCAAAGGACCAATATGACCTTTATTTATAATAAAACTCTTTATTTACATTTGGTATTCTACGTTTGCTTCTTACCCTACGTAGCCTATGTAGCCTTAGTAGACTGAGTTAGCCTAATTTAGAGTAACTGTAGCATGTGGCTTCACCGGGTAACCCAAATAGGGTTATAACCGTTGTACCTAACGCTAAAGGGAGGTACGATTAATTTATGGTGGGAAACCCGACCTGGTCACGTTACGGGTTTCACACTATAAAGCAAGCGATTCATAAGCGATTTTATAATCACTAATCAAATAATCTTAATAACCAATATATTAATGGTTTAGATCCTATTATACAATTTGTTAAAAACCATAGAAACCGTAAAATTAAGAGTTTACCCATTTTGTATTGAAAAATTTTAATTTCTCGCAGTACAAAAAAAATTCACACTTTATCCCAAAGAAAAATCGGAGTGTCTGATTAACATGCATCAGGACATTTCTATTAATTGGTATAGGATCTTATTGAACACTAATTTTTGCAATTTTTGGTTTGCATTACCCGTCGCTCTTCAAAACCCAATTTATAAAGTCACAAGGCAGAAATTATTGTGAATCACTGGACTTTCCACGTGAAATTAGGTCACTGAAATGCAAAACTTACGATTTTGATACATCTGCACTTACTTATTTGATATACGTACGCAGATGTTACAATTTTAATAAAAATTTTAAGAATTAAAGATATCGCGATAATTACCTATTAAAATTTAATAATTTTTTTTTTTTGAATTAATTATAAATATTCCTAACATCAGAATAAAAAAATTTTAGCCGATTTTGATTATGTTGTTGTTGTGATATCTTCGTTCAAAGTTTTAAAAAAATTTGGCGCAGCTTATATTTTGATAGGCGGTTTGAATTGTTTACTAACTTTGAGCGAAGTTATCACAACAGCAACTTAATCAAAATCGGCTAAAATTTTTTATTCTGATGCTACGAATATTTATAATTAATTTTAAGAAAAATTATTAAATTTTAATAGGTAATTATCGTGATATCTTTACTCTAATTCTTGAAATTTTTATTAAAAGTATAATCGTATGTGTATCAAAAAAGTATATAAATTTTAGTGTAACATCTGCGTATATCAACAAAGTTAAGTGCGGTGTATCAATTTCGTAAGTTTTGCTTCAGGGGTAAAATTTAGGGTTCACGAACATGACACATGATCGGTTGATCATTCGCGTTTTATATATAACTGGTGCATGAATAACAAATTGTTGTTCAAGTAAATAACGTAGATAAAAGATACACTTTGTTATCCGAATACTTATAGATTCGTATTTAAGGTATCTCAAACATATTATTCAAAGTGAACACGAAAGTAAAAAAGAAAAGGCGCAACTGCTTATAAATATAAAGAGGTGATTTTTTTTCGTGTTTGTTTGTTCAATCCACTCGCTTGTCTTGCTGAAGCCTACTGGGCGAACTGACGGGGTGAAAATCAGTGTTGGGGCATCAGGTAACCTACTTGCTTGTCTGATGTTTAAGTCTACGAGCCTTACCTAACACTGATCCGTCGGGGCACAGATAACCTACTACTTGGACGGGGTGAAAATCAGTGTTGGGGCATCAGGTAACCTACTCGCTTGTCTGATGTTTAAGTCTACGAGCCTTACCTAACACTGATCCGTCGAGACACAGATAATCTACTGATTGGCGAACTGACGGGGTGAAAATCACACTAATTATCTCTTCTTTTTTGTAAGGGTACACGACCTAATTACCATCTGGCAAAGAGTCGAAACTTTGGCAACATTTAATAATATGAGTGAAATTCCAAATATCCAGATTAATATCCAAAGTATTTGGTGTCATGGCGTGCAAAGTAATACAACAATTTCGCACCAGGAAAGTGCCAAAAACGTTCAAGATTCTATGAGAAAACGAAACTCTAATTCATATGATGACAGTTTAACTGAGACATATATTTCCAGTTTGAAAAACAAGAAAGTGTGTAATCTCAACACATATAAAATAATACTAGTGATATCTGTTATATTTCTAAAAAATTATACGTATCATTTATCCACAATATATGGAAATAAAAATGAAGGACGAAATCGGGATTTTAATCCCTACTGACGAAGGAAAAGATCCAAAAAGGAAGATAGGAGAAGACAACCAATCGAATGATCTGTTTCAATTTCACGAAAAAATAAATGACGATGATGAATTTCTTGAAAATATTGGACTTTTATTTAATGAATCAAATGAGGAATCAATTATTGAAAAAGTTGATGAGAGTTCGCTGTTGGACGAAATTCGATTGCCATCAGTAAACATTAATAATGAGGTAAAACTTGTTATAAATATTTTATGAATAAGTATTCAACAAATTTATTATCTGTTATTCTATTATCAATAGGAGTTACTTGAAACAAATATAATCGAAGAATTTAGCAAATATCAAAAAAAGATACCAAAAACTCGCAAGGCTTTGACGTAAGTTTAGCACCGTCATTATAAACACAATTGCATCCTGCTTATTAATATTCTATACATTAGCCCTGCGTATTGGGGAATATTGGATTTGACGAAGGAGAGTCTCAAAGACTCAGGTATAAATGATATGGATATACAAAAATTATCTCAGGATTTTTCAAACAAAATTGGATGGAATGGTATTACAGCCCCAAAAGAAATTCAAGAATATTTTGACGGAAATTGTGTAGATGTCAATAATATCGATGTCATCAAAAAATTAGACAGGAACATCCAATTTATGTATGTATATTAATGAATACATTGTGTAAATTATTTTGTTATTTAATGTTCTTATTTATATATTATTTAGGAAAGATAAAATGCCAAAGTTACGAAATATGTGCACCGAAGAAGAATTAAAAATGTCAACAACATTTCCATTATTTTCAGGAATTTTCAATTCGCCTAATATAAATAGTTCTTGGTAAATAAATCATTATTTTTGAGAAATTTAATAATTTTTTACAGTTAACAATTATATCGAAAATACAGGGGTGAAATTCAAGCAATCTCGACAAATAAAGCACGAAATGAAGAACAAAATCCCTTCACGAGGGCTAGAGTTGAATATAAGGTTGACATGAGAGGAATCTTGGTCAAAACGCCAAAAAAATTTGAAATAATATATGGCGAAATTTCCGGTGGTTTGACTTATTTTGGTTTGCCTGCGTCTTGCAGGAAAAAACAATATGTAGATAAGGTCAAACTTATGGTGATGTTAAGGAACAGTCTCAATCAAGTTTTTAAAAACTATTTGCATATAACAGACGAACAACGTAAAAAGTTAATAGTGTACGGTTGGTTACAAGTTGGTAAGTTTGTTCAATGTGATATTTAGTATATATATATTAGAAAAATATATTAATATTTTTTAAATGTCAGGAGTTGAGTTAAGCTTTTACGCTATGGATTGGATTGGATCCGGAATATACAGATTTGGTAAATTAGATAAGTGTGAATTACCGGTCGATGAAGACGACATAAGCATCCTTGAGGATGCATACTGCATCCTTAGGTTGTTAGAGGTAGGCTATTATATGATTCTTGTTATTAATAGTCAATTGACATTTTTAACATATAGAAACAATGTAGTCGAAATCGCTTGAATCAGAAAAATTCATAAAAGAAATCTTACAAAATAATACGAAAAACAAAAGACGGCGTATGATGACAGAAAGTGATCCTCATTTAAATAAGAACCGAACTCCTATTAAAAGATAGAGAACGTTGTTTGTGTAACAAAATTATCCTTAGCCATTCTTTGAAGTTAATAAAGTACCTATCTTTGCAATCAATTTATTGCACTTTTTTTTGTAAGTGATCCTGGAGTCAATTAATCGTATAGCTCATCATGACTAGTTTTAGCCATGATTTTCTATGTAAAAAAATAAACAGTATTATATGAACATGTAAAAATGAGAACCCCGAACAAGACATTATGAAGTACAAACTAATAATCATACTCATGGAAGGCAAACAACATAAATTTTTGGCGGGACTTTGCATTTTCCGATATTAATGAAACTGGATCATGAATTATTGTTGGGATAATGTGTTAGTATAGATAGTTAGATGAACGAAAAACTTCTGCACTCATTAATATAGAACCATCATGGAGAAAATCTATGTATAACGGCTACAAGTCGAATAATTGCAAATTATAAGACAGCCTCTTATGGGGTGATAAATTCCAATATTTTTGTAATCACGTAAAAATGAAAATGGGAGTTCCCTTCTTTTATTTAATAAAGAATTGTTGCCGGAACGACAACTAACAGATAACAAATATTTTATTTATAACAAAAAAAAATACAAATAAAAAATCATTTTATATACGATGCTAAAATACCAATCGCTTTGATTTGCTCTTTCCGTTTTTTTTTAGTATAAAAATTTGCTTATCATCCACGGATAACTTATAGTTATATATTCAAGTTATAAAATAGCTTTTTTTTATCCTTGAAACTTACGGGCTGTAATTGTTCTCCAGTCGTCGCATTCATAAAAACTACATCCGTCGATTTATACGACTTATCATTTTTATCTACAAGAATAACCCTCCATTTATCCCTTAGAAATAAATTGCGGGTACGTAAGCCTTTTTGATAATATATATATATATATATGTGTGAGCAAAAAATAACGTTATTGCTAACTTATATTATGGGTGGGAACTTGCTTATTTTTATACTGTCCATTCTTTAGATCTGAGAACCTGCCAGAAGGAAAATTACAAGTTTAGTAATTACGTTATTCTAACACAATGTTATACCACACTTAACAAGCAACTACGTTTCGCATATAAATTTTTTTATTTTATTTTATTTTTTATTTTTATTTTTTAGGTAAATTAAACCCCATTAGATTCGACAATCGCTACTACAAAGTGAAAATATCAACGATCTCGGCGATCCGGGAATTCGAAGTTTCTGCGACATATGAATTTTGATAATACCACTGATAAAGAACGTTGTACTCTTCCCTATTATAGCCCTTTTAAGTTCTATTTGCGCTTTTTCTTATCGCAGTATCATATAATAAGTAAAGGCTTTCTAAGATATCAGATAATTCGTAATATATTCGATATAAATCAACCGTAAGAATTATACCGTTTAGAGTACCCGGTGTGACAAATAATGTTGATCAATTTTTAAAATATTATTTATACATGTGATGCGTAACATACGTAATTAAAATTTTTTCTATTGTAAAAAATTGTATACTTTAAACGGCGATCTAGAACCAGTCTAGACTTTTACAATGTTCGCTCTACTGCTCGAAAAATTTCGATGTAGATTATGAATACGAAATTAACGTCTCACATCGTGTGAACAGGAAATTTATTAGAAAAATCGGAAAATTTATGTAAATCAGTATATTTCAAACCTTATTTTATACATAGCTCGTTAAAGTAGAATCAAGGTTTAATAATAGATAATACAAGTCATTTTCGTTATAGTGAAATAATCAGTCTATAAAATTTATTCACTATATCGAAAAGGTTTTTATGAAATTGTTCTCTAATATTATAAAGCCCACCGGCATATTGACATTGACAATGGTAATTTCTACTGACACATCAAACACGTGAACTAATTCTGGTATACGAACTTACGCTAAAATTTTGACGATTCTGTTAGAACTGGTCATTGTCATGTCAATATAAATTGCCTTTGCTCACGATAGTGTTTTATGTGTCTGTGGAGAGGGCATTTTTCCTTTTCAACCTATTATACGTTTTAAATGTCCAAAGTTCCCACCCGAAGGTACTACAGTCAGACGTAGTACAATTTCGATTTTTTCTTATTTTTTTTGTTAACTATATGGTAAGCAAAGCAAGTTGCGATAACTTTTGGAGAGTTTAATAAAAGCTCTAATAAGTTCAACAAATCTAAGATTCAATACTTTGAAATTTGAGTAGAAATCTTGATTCACTTTTTGTGTTAAAACATCGTATTGAGAAACTGATTGTATCTTATCTCCGTGATAAGAAAAGAGAGAAATGATTTAAGTGTCCCAGAGGAATTGATTACAAGAAAGAGTGTATTAGTTAAAGTTCCAATAAAAACCAAAGATAGTAAAGAAGAGTTTAACTCTTACTCCTAATTGCCTATCGAAACTCAAGTTAACCCTAAAACTCAGACAAGTCTTTCATGTCTCGATTGAAACTTTCGTTTGAGTGTTATTATTCAGTACCGAAACTCTTGCGTTACAGAGTCCCCGAATGTGTTCTTACTAGAACCTGTCATAATCTTTTCAAAGTACGTACAGTACGTACGTATCGAGTATGCACATAAAAGTACGTACATCACAGTACATACGTCGTAAGTGCATTATTTAAAAATAAGCATGTAGAATGTGAGACCGATCATAAGAATTTAATTTACGTACGATAGAAAGAAAACTATTGGTTTGTATCAATAATGTGAACAAATCGGGGGAAAAAAAAAACGCAAATAAAATAATATTAATTTGCTTATGAAATCAAATATTTTAACAAACATTAATGATAACGATAGTGAAATATGATGATTTATTTAATATGCCATACATATTAAGATAATGCATAATAAAGATACAATTTTTTAACGTCAAACTCTAGCGTTATTAAAAGATTGGGTAAGTTGAAATTATTATTATTATTTAACGTTAAACAATGCTTGTCAATAAAAAAATAAATAAATAAATAAAAAACTATTTTGATATAGTTAATAAAAATAAATTTTTTTTTTTACAATATTACCCTTTCGCGTTTATATAATGATAAATATGAAAAAGTAAGGAAATCAATTTTCTAACTTTAAACTCAAAATTTGAATGATTTTTTTTTTTTTTTTTTAACGAAAATTTGATATATTGTACGTCCATTTTTTTTTTTTTTACGAGAATAATTTTAAAAAATATATTTTATTTATATATATATATATATAATATCGATTTGTTTCCCTTTATTAAAAGAAGATATAACATTAAAGCCTCATTTGAGACCAGCACCGCGTTGGTCATTCGTTATAAACAAATTACAGTACAAAAAATGTCGTGAATTAACACAAAAATTTTGTGAATCAACACAAAATATCAAAAAAGGCATATAGTATATTAAGGCTAAATGTGTAAGTGAAAACTTAAGAAAAAAAAAAAAAAAATGCATATACAAGAAATAGATAAGAAAAGAACTTATCAATTATTAATAATATATATATATTAATAATTTGTGTAAAATTATAAATTTTTTTTTTTAAAAAAAAAAAATTATAATAATAATTCATACTTTCGTGACCTAATAAAAAAAAAACGTGATATTTATCAAAAAAACTAAATAAAACTACGACTATATTCTTCAGCATCAACAAAATGGTCACTAAAATCATCACTTATTTTATCTTCTGTCGATAATTCATCTTCAACTGTAGATATAACAAGAACAGGTATCGATAAATTATTAGACATTAATCCTATACTTGAATTAACAGATTCCAAATTTAATTGAGTTCTTTTAATTTGAAATTGATCTTTTGAATTCTTTTTAATAATAGATTTTTCATTTTCAAATTTTTCATCATTTTCATTAGATGTAACTTCAGTAAATTTAGTTACACGAATTTCTATTCCTTCAGAATTTTTTCCATCATAATTAGATTCAACATCATATAAATTAGAATTATAATCACCATTTTCAATTTCATTATTTAAAGAAAATTGTTCTTTATAATCATCAAGAGCAATTATACTACTAGCATCATCTCTAAAACTATAATCATCACGATCATCCATTTCATATTCAGAAATATTACCAGGATAATCATAACCTTCTTCACTATCACCACTAGTAGAAAGTGAAGTTCTACTAGATTCACCAGTACTTGAATTTAAAGATAATGATGAAGTAGAACTACGAAGGAATGAACCCATTGTAGCAGGTCTTGTATTAGTTTCATTAATTCTTTCAGTTGGATCAAGTAATTTATTATTATTACTAATAGGTTCTTTAATAAATAATTTACCAAAAGTTTCAGGAACACTTAAAGATTTTGAAGATAAATTTGTATTTGTAGAAATAATTAAAGGATTATTATCATCATCAATTAAATTATCTCCAGGTGTAAAATAACTTCTTCTATTTTGCCAATAAGTTTTATCTTCCATTACTGTAGAACATAAATCTTTTTCTAAAATTTCATTATAACATACAAGTTTACTTAATTCTAAACATGTATGTTTTAATCGAGATCCTACTAATGTTGCAACTTTTAATATACGATCTCTTGTTGATGCTTTATATGGTATCATTAGAAATAAATTATTTCTAAATCTAATATCAGCTTGAAGTTGTGATGTTAATGCGGAAATCTTTCCCTGGAGTTCATTAATTTTTGACTATATAATTCATGAAAAAAAAAAAAAAAAAAAATTAATAACATGATTTTAAATAGGAATGAAAATAAATTATATATAAAGATTATATACATACGCGAATCAAATTAGTACGTCCTTGAGCTTCTTTAGCAGCATCATCATGACTATAACCAAACATTCCAAGTTTAAAATTACTAGTACCAACACCTCTTCTTAATTGTCCAATGTTTGGATTACGAATATTTCTCATCTTTAATCCAGCAGTTTTAAATGCAGCAGCATAATTAATCTTTGATATCCAATCATTCATTTCTTCTTCATTTTCAGCTTTAAATAAATATTGATGACCTTTTGGACATACTAATCGAAAAACATTTTTATGTTTATCATAATTTTTATCATATACCGCCACAGAATCAGCTGTCATAAGTATTGCATCAGGTTTTAAGACTGGCGATATTGATGATGAATCCTAAAAAAAAAAAAAATAATTTAAAATAGATATATATATATTAATTTATAGGTATTAAAATGAATTATAATAAAAAAAGAACAAACCTTGTAATTATTTAACCTTTTCATTTGTACATTGAACATTGTTTCATCTTTAAAGAACATTAATTGACTACCACTTAATATAACACCATATATTTTCCAATTCCTTATAAAACTATTCCTTCTTTTACCATCAATTAAATCAACTTTTCTTCCAAGTTTACCACTTTTAGTTATATTTAAAAGAAAAGTTCCATCATCATCATTATTTGTTGATTTATTAGAATTAGAAGTGTCTTTAAATGATGTATGACTATTACGTCTATTTTTAACACCAGTAATCTTAATGGTATTAGTTGTAGAAAATACACGATAAAGATTTGTTATATCTAAAGCTGGTAAAGTTCCCATATAGGAATAAGGATTTTCTGTAGGAATAATGTCTTTAATTTTAGGTTTGAATTCCGTGGGTAATTTCTAATTATTATATATATATATAAAATTTAAATAATTATATAAATTTATTTAAATTAAAAAATAGATAAAAAAAATAATAATTTTTTAATTTATGAACTTACGGTTTGTATAACCCAGTAAGGATCATTTTTAAAACGTATAGATTTTTTTCGATCTTTTGAAGAGAATAATTTTATTTGACGATGCGTTGGCGATCCAAGCATTGTTTGACCATTAACATCAGTATCATCTTGAGCATATATAAATTGAGTATACGTGATATTATCATAGAGAATCTATTAAAATATTACATGAATTAATAATAAAGTAGACAAAATAAAACATTTTGATATTAATGATAAATTTACCTCTAATATTTCTGGGTTAACACCATCGATTCGTGTATTCTTAACAAATTCTTCCTTTGTCATCTTTTGTTTTACATTTTTATTATAAACGTCTGTGTGAAGCATTAATAAAGAGAACGCAAGCATATAAGGAGTATCTAATGTTTAAAAAAAAAAAAAGTGTTGTTAAAAATTTTCGTACAACATTAATAAATCAAATAATTTATAGTAATTTACCTGCAGAAGGAAACAGATCAGGATTTGATTCATGATAACTTTTAGCAAATGCTTCTATAACTCGATCAATATGTTGTGTTTCTTTTGGTAAATTACATTCCATTAAAAGCTTCCTATAATAATTAAATAATTAAATTATATATTCGTTTTTACAATAATAAATATATTAATTTTACAATATTAAAATATACCTTAACGCAAGATCGATAGGAACCTTTTCAAACTCAAAAAGTTTCATATAAGCTTTAAGAGCAGATTGATGAAATACGTCAGCTCTATAAAAAAATTATGAAAAATAAAAAAAAAGTGTCATTATTTATCAAAAAAAAAAACGAGAATATACTTATTTAATCGCGTGATAAAAAAACTCACTTTTGAGTTAATATGGTAACCAATTTTGATCTAGAAACACTATACATCATTCTTTCAAGATATTGTTTCGGGGTTTCTCTATCAATTTTAGCTTCAAATGTATTATTTAAATTTATCATTGACTTTGCCAAAGATATTTTATTTATATTATTATTAATCGGCATGGATAAACCATTTAGAATAGGAGCTGATCCCGTGCGTTTATGCGTTCGAGGTAGTTTGGTAGGACTTACTCCGGAAATCATCGAACTCCTAATACTTGTAATCTTAGGTTCTATAGTAGAATTCGAATTAAATATAGTAGAACTTCTATTACGATGAGATTTTTTCTCGATGAGTGAAGAAGATTGTGGTTTAGTAGAAGAGGAGGTTATTGGATCATTTTTAGGATTTGAAGAAGATGAAGGTTCATCATGACTTGAATTATTAATCTTTATTGGTAATGAAGAAGGTTTAATAGGAATTTTATTCACAGTTGAAGGTTTTAAAGTCGATGATGAATCGTTTGCTTCATCCCACGTGTCCTCAGAAGACGTAGTTGGTTTTACTGTCGATGAACTGGGACAATTTTGTATATTATCTTGAGATTTATGCGAGTTACGATTTAAATTAAGATCGGCACAATCAGTATCAAGATCTTTAGGAGAAACTGTGGTAGTTGTGACAGTAGTAACCGTAGTTGTAGTGGTTGTTTTTGTAACCATTGCATTTGGTGGTTTGTCATCTTCAGTAACGTGTTCTTGATTGGGAACATTTAAGGAAGGAGTTTTGGTGGTTGTGGAGGATATTTTTTTCGCGGAAGGGTAGTTGCCTTTTGTTTGAGGAACTATAACAGATTTTGCCGAAGTTGATTTTCGTCTGTTTGACGAAAACATAATTATATATAATTATATAATATAATTATATGTATTATCCACTAAAATATTAAAGAATGACACGTGGATATTCGTCGAAAAAGATAAAGGAATGTTAAAGGATTTAAGTGTAAGACGAATAACCGACAAAAAAAGTGAAGCACTTTATTTATATAAAAGAATTAGAAATGAAGGATCCATAAAAAAAAAAAAAAAAATTACATTAATAAAATTATATCGATATCAAGAAAAATTTGTATGCCGATTAATTTGGTTACACGCATCTATGTAAATTACTGGTATCCAACATGCATTAATGTAAAGAAATGAAATGATTGGTATTAAAGTCAAAAGTTAAAAAGTTTATTTGATATTTGCATAAAATAAATTTTACGATTTTTTTAGTTTACATTACACAACTTTTTAAAAAAAACGCACAGACGAAAATGATGTTAAGATCTTAAACTATTGACATAATTTGATAAATTTTAATAATGCCGAAATATTGGTTTCTTTTCATTTTAAAAAACCTTAAATAAAATCGTACAAACTTAATCGCATACATGTGAAATTTTTTACTTTTAAAAAATTGCCGATTATAACAATGAGATGTGAATTAATATAACGTAAGCTGCAGATGAAGACGCCCATTTTAATCAAACAGGAATTATGCAAGTTTATGGTGATATACACTTAGAGTGGCTCTTAAATGACAGACATGTCAGGGACGTGAAATATATTATTTGGTACAATTATATTGGTTAATATGCTAATATTATGAGCCAATGGAATTTTAAGGGACAGTCAAATGTTATCAACATATCCTTTTATTATTATTATTAATAATAAAAGATGTACATACGTAATTAAAAAACACGAATCAACATACCGTGAAAAAAATGATACCATAAAATAATCATTGGCAATTCTTACAATAGACCTCAAGTTAGATTAAAATTTTGGATTTATCATGAGATTTTTGTAATATGACAGCAAGGGTTCCCAACAATATATAAATTAAATAATTCCCTTTAATTTCATTAATATATAATATGTAAGAAATCGTTTCAGATTTTATGAATTTTGGTTCAATGCAAAAGGTAAGTATACTGTATGCTGTATATGGTTTTTTATTAAACAGAAAAATTATAAATAAATACAAATAAGCAAATCAGAAACCTTCTGTGAGGGTTTGGTTCGATAAAATCTTATAGGTTTTTACTTATAACGATAAATTATCAAAAATCAGCAGATATGAAAATCTATTCTCGTTATGTCTAATAATGGGTGTAAAAAAATCATTTATTATTATTAAAATTTATATTTTTACACGTACTTTAATTAATTAATACTATAAAAAAATTTTCTAAAATATTAATATGTAAAACCTTTATATTGTACACTATTTGTATTTAAAATAAGCTACTCCCCTTACTGTATGTATGTTATATAGTAAATTGGATACTTTTAAAATAATAAATTCATTAAATAACACACATGAGTATAACATTTCTCTTATATAATTTCAATGCGTATATTTAAGAAATTTATTTATGAAAACTGTATATTTGATGTTTTATTTTAAATAACGAACATGTGCGTATTCAAATAAACGCGCAGGAATTTAAATATACTGTATTTAGTCTGTAATTATAAAAATTATTTATTAAATCTATGCATTTAAAATAAGCCATTCAAGTTCATAAATATTATGTATAAATTACTATATCGTAGACATACTCTTGCGAGAGATAACCTGGCAATGTTTCACGAATCAAATGACCACGCGAGATGTAACATAATTATATAATTTTAATTATAGAATAAAAATAATAAAAATTTATTAAATTTAATTAGATAATTGAGATATTTTAATTCAACATTTCAAAAAAAAGTTACATATTGCCGGGGGTTAAGATATCACTAACAAAATGACCTCAAGTCTTGCTCAGGTAAACTCTTTACTAGCAAAGCACTCAGTTTATCGAGAATAACAATAACAAGTATTTTCTATTACAAGTTCGATCTCTTTTGTTAGCACAAAATACTCTTATCTAACCATCACTGCATAATTATTAGGCCTCGCTAAACTTAATTTTTCATTTTACATTACCCGCTGACCCGGTTTTTCAATTTTTTTTAGAATTCCAATTATAATATCAAAAAACTATAAAAAAAAATTGACTGACCGACCGATCCAATTTTTTGATTCCATGTAATGCAAAACGAAAAATTAACTTTACGTGGCCTTACCCATAGAAACACCACATTATTGCACAACATTTATGCGTAAACTAAAAATTACTACATTATTTTCGCACATAACCGATATTTTAATTACCGCATTATTAACTTTGCCGACTATACCCCGAACTATCACGTAACACGATCGTCCCTTGACATCATCAATACATTACGTACGTACGTACTCATATTCATAAGATCTCGCTCTTCCACTCACATTTCCTTCCTCTTCATGCTTCCATTTCATTCACATTGCTAATTCCGGCTATTATCGCCTCAGGGTCATGATTTAATCCATTTTTAGCGACTTCGGGTAATCGTTTTTCTCAATACAGTTAAGACTCTAATTACTCTATTGTTCATCTGATAAGTTTCGCCACGACTTGTACTAACTACCATTACCATTATATCTTTTCCTTTCTCATCATTGTTTCTATTATTATAACCCACGCCTTTTCTTTTTCAGATTCACCACCTGGCCTTTTATCGGCCTTCAAACTACTTTGCTCAAAAACACCATCAGATCTACCATATGAGCTGTTTCCTCCAAAAACTTCATCACTTTTCAAATATCGCTTCAATGTCTTCTTTCCCTCCTTTTCAACTCTATTTCTGTTTTTCCAGCGTTAGCATTACCTTTATCACAAATCTTTGATAAAAATTAGACGTTTTATGTTTGTCCAATTCAACACCAGTTCCCTTTTCAACCTTTATTCCATCATTATTGCTAATTTCCTCAATTCCATTCAGATTACAATGGCCAACATCATACGTTCCTCTGGCATCTCTCATCTCGACAATATCGTCCATCTCGGTAGATTTTGATAATTGATAAACGCTTTATGTTCATCTTTTCTGACTCTTATTCCATTTTGATAACATTGTCCAATACTTAATCGTTCCGGGATTTGGTTTACTCCGCTTTGGTAAATATCTCACTCTTAATTTCACGTATTTTTGCTCCTTTTTATCTCATTGTTATTACCATTCATTTCTTCTATTTGAACTCTACAAATCGGCATTGATTCTACTTCTTCTTCACCACGATCGTCATAATCACCACCAAACAGATATTCAAATCCAATTTGCCGTGTAACTTCGAATTGTTCTACCAAAAATAAGTTGCCCATCCCTATTTTATTCCAGCTAACCATTCCATCTATGACTTGTTGATATACCACACCATAAAATCCACAAATTTCATTAATTCTTTGATACTTTTTCTATGCCAATTCCATCCTGATAACATTCTCCATCCGCATTTCCCATATTTGGGCATTTTTGATCACGATTGAATGCCTTACGTTCATATCTTTCGATCCTTATTCCATTTTGGAGACAATGCTCACGGTCCAAACGTCTTAACACTTTGCCTTTTCCATTTTTGTTAAGTGCTCTCTCTTTAACCTTCCTTAGTTTACCTTCCTTTTGTAATTTTAAATCCTTTCCTACTCTCCTTGTAATACCAACAGCATCATCCGCTTTCCAACGCTTGGATAAGTATCTTCACTTCTAAATATACTTTATTATCGTTGTTGATTCTAGTTCTTCGTAACCTTAACCACTTAGAACCTAATAACCTGATAAGTGTTCACTATTTTACTTTCTTACTTTCTAACGCTTATACAATCCAAGACTGATTAATTTTATCTCTTATATATATATTAAATGATTACATCATTTATGCATCATTATATTTAGCCTTTACTATTTTATATTAACGTTAACTTTATTATTATACTATCCTGCATGACATATTAGAGTGATCATCAAACTACGTAATAAATTCTACTACGTAGGTTATAAGTAGCGTAAGGAATTTTTTTTTTTTTTTTTTTTTACCAATTTCGGAAAATTAACTTTGAAATATTTTCATTATTACTAACGAAGGTACAATTTTCTAGTTAACAATCATAAAAATTTTATATCAAATTTTTTTTTATTTCAATTTTTTTTAAAAAATCAAATCTTCTGTATATTTAATATTTATGCTATCTTCGAAATTTTCAATATTTTTAATAACAAATTTTCTTTCTAAGCTTTTAATTCCTACAGTATCAAAATTAATAGATCTGCTTTTGTAAATTGCTTCATAATTTATAGATTCTGATTGATAATAAATATTTTTAGCCATAATTTTATCAGACATTTTAAATTTTGATAAAATTTCTTCATTATTTTTCCAGGATTGAATATGATAATAAATTTCTGATGCAGTTGGACGTTCTAATGGATTACAATCCCAACACTTTTTCATAAGATCAATATAATACTTTGATGTTCCATTAACAATTATTGGTCTCACTCCTTTACAAATATCTAAAATAAGATTCGAATTATGTTCTCTATCAGAAAATGCTAACATCCCAGAAGATATTTCCCACATAATTATACCAAATGAAAATATATCTGATGCCAGTGTATAAACTTTTTCACATAAAACTTCAGGAGCAATATATGGAATAATTCCACATATATTATCAGATTCGATCAATACTCTATTAACTGTTTCTGAAAGACCTAAATCACCAATATAAGCACTACATAAATCATGTTGTAATATGTTTCCACTATGTAAATCTCGATGAATAATGTTATAAGAATGAATTAGTTTGAGATCTTCTGCGATATATGATAGTATATTTAATTTGTCTTTCCATTCCATATTTGCAATAGTACGAAGATTTTGACGTAATGAGCCTTCTAATGCAAGTTGCATGACTAGTATGTAGTCATTGGTTGCACTTTCATCCTTAGATATCCCGTAACATTGTAAAAATAATGGGTTTTTGCATCCAATATCATAGTACATTTTTAGCTATAATCGATAAATTATTGGTAAAATAAGTCTTTAATATAACATTTAAAAATTTTATTAAATACCTCTTTTAAAAAATTTTCACTATTATTTCGTGATCCATGGACCAACTTGAGTATAACAGGCTTTGCTGGTTGATCTGATCTCCATGTACCTGTATATACAGTTGAAAATCCGCCTTTTCCGATCTTTTCAAGGATTTCCAAATTAGTGAATGGAATCCATGATAATTGATTATTGCCTTCATATAAAGATTTGTTCAAAAAATCATCAATATCAGAATTTCCACAATTATAAATCACTGGTTTGTACTCGTTAGTGTTTGATTTTTGCAACCATTTAGTGGCTTCTTTTTGATCTTGAGAAGTTCCTTTACCATTTCGATAACATAATCCGATTAATAACTGGCCTGTAGAATTTCCGCCTTTGGCAGATTTCAAATACCATTCAAATGCTTTCGTTTCATCTTTAGTAATACCCAATCCTTCATCATAACAAATTCCAACATTAAGTTGACCATAAGAATGTCCACCTTTACCGGATTTCATATACCATTCAAATGCCTTTTTTTCATCTTTAGAAATGAATATGCCTTTTCGATAACAATCTCCAACTCTGAATTGACCTTCGGAATTTCCTCCTTCAGCAGATCTTAAATACCATTTAAATGCCTTCTCTTCATCTTTAGTTATGCCTATACCATACTGGTAAGTATGTCCAATTTTAAATTGGCCAACCGAATTACCACTTTCTGCAGATTTCAAAAGCCATTCAAATCCTTTCTTTTCATTTTTAGAAATACCTATTCCATCTTGATAGAAAATTCCAACATTTGATTGTCCAATTGAATTTCCACTTTTGGCAGATTTCAAATACCATTCGAATGCTTTCTTTTCATCTTTATCAATACCTATACCATGTCGATAGTAATAACCAATATTATTTTGACCATCAGAATCTCCACCTTTAGCAGATTTTAAATACCATTCGAATGATTTCTTTTCATCTTTAGAAGTACCTATACCATTTTGATAACAAAGTCCAATATTATATTGACCACCAGAATTTCCATTTTCAGCAGATTTTAAATACCATTTAAAAGCCATTTTTTCATCTTTAGAAATTCCTATACCATTTTCATAATAAAATCCTATATTAACTTGTCCATTAGAATTCCCATTTTTAGCAGATTTTAAATACCATTCAAATGAATTTTTTTCATCTTTAGAAATACCTATACCATTTTGATAACAATATCCAACATTAAATTGTCCATCAGAATCTCCTCTTTCAGCAGATTTAAAATATTTTTCAAATGTTTTTTTATCATCTTTAGAAATATTTATACCCATTTGTTATCTTTTTTTTTTTTTTAACCAAAATTTTAATAATAGAAATATAAAGGTAATCTTTGAAATAAAAAATGAGTTGTAATAACGAATTAAAATTATACTAATTTTAGTAACACCCACAGGTTACACATTTTTTATGATATTTTATAATACGATCATAATAAAATCACAAGGTAAGAACGTGACTACACTAAATTTGTAAAGGAAATAGGAAAATGAATTTTCTTTTTATCATTATTAAGTATGTAAGATATTGATTCCAAAAAAAGGTTTGATTTTATTGTTACAGAAATATTTAATTAGTAGGTCTAATAAATTACTACTAAAATAGAAGCTTATATTAGTGATTTAAACTTAGCTGTTTCTGAATGTGATATGCTTATTAAAAAATTAGAAGAAATTAACACAGAATTATCTACTGAATTAAATAAATAGGAAAAATAGAAAAGACAAAAATATAACTAAATCTTCAACAAGTTCAAAAGAGTTTAGCCTTCTAACTCTAGTCTATTCAATTTCAAATTATTTAACTACCTATCTAGTAGAAAGTAGTAAAAAAAAAAAAAATTTGTATTGAGTATTAAAGATAATAAAGAATACTTTCTCTGTAATTGTATATAAATATCTGTGACGGATTAAAATGAAATTCGGATTAAAATGAAATTAATATAATCTAATTGGTTAGGGTTAGGGTGATCTACAA